TACAGTTGCACCAGTTTTCCTTTCCAAAGCACTCAACCAAAGTCACACTTAAACAAAGTCCAGCATCTGTCCAGCATCTCCAGTTCAGTCTTGGTTTTACAGAGCCAGAGTACAGTTTAAACTATACACAAATTACTTCAGTCTTTCCACTTAAAGGCTTTGCTAGTGAAGTGGATTAAGACAGTGATGGATTGGAGCTAACACCACCTTAGTTCTTGCAAAGGGCTCCACTAAATCCCCACTTTTCTCAACTTATTAACATAGAAAGTCCTGAAGATTAATAAATTCTAACCTGACTTTATGACACGGGCCAGAAAAAAATGAATGCATGCTGAAAAATCATCCACCTGTGCATGGAAGGTAGAGAACACAAAGCATTCAGTTTTGGTAATACAGAGTCACCTTCCTGATTTACAACTACAAGTGGAAAAACTGCAGTCCCCTCCATCTTTCTTGCATTTTGCCACCTTCTGATGTCCTGGGAAGAGAAAACTCTCTATTGCTAAATGCAATCCTAAAGATGCTTCACTGAAAGATGAAAGCAACAGAAGGAACAGAGAACAGATGCTCCCACTCTTGCATTCTGATAGAGAACACATGCAGGATCTCCAAACAAAATAGGCAATGGATATTTACTTCATGAAACATAAGCAGTAGTGTCAGGCTAAGTCCCCTCGTCCTGCCCTGAGTTGAAGGGGAAACATTCTGATTACAATTCACACATTCTTACACTTCTTTATGCAGGAAGAAAAAGATTACAATTCATTGAGCCAACTGCAGTAAAATAATTGCTTCTTCTTTGAGTAGATGTTTATGCCAGTATACTATCAGAGTTACCCTCTTTTCAGGATATTTTCCAGCAATGCACAGGGAAAAGTGAATAAAAATGACTCTTATTTATTCCTGAGCAGATAATTTCTGTAAGAAATTAAAGTCCAAGTGCTCTTTTGGCAGAGGACTCCTCAGCTTCAAGCTGCAGTCTACAACATACTGATATTTATCACAGTACTGAACAGAGCTAGTAGAACACAGCTAGCAATTGAATAAAAAACACTTCCAAAGCTTCATAAAGATAGTCAGAAATTTAGCACTGTATGCTCACAGTAGCAGGTGACTACACTTTTCTACCAGGTAAATAGATTCAATCTGCCACTGCAGACTGAGGTGTCAGATGTTCAGCTTGTTTCAGTGTTTTGTGATTGAGGTACATATGCAAATAAAGCAGTCTGGACTAGTCTGCTGGACAGAAAGCATGGAGCAAATAGCTTTTTACGCTTCATTAATTTATTTGGTAGGCATTCACAACCAAATTAATTTTTATAGCTAGCATACAGTAGTCCCCAGGCCAAGGAGCCAAACATGAGATGACTTTCTCCTGTGTGTAATATCCCCATCTGAACTGTGCCACATACACTGATATAGCACTTCAGATGGTGAGAAGTACAAAGCAGACCTCAACCTTATAGTACGCTTCTGCTTCTGCACTGTGCTTTATCTTCCCTTCTTCCGATCCTTTAAAAACAAAGCAAACCAATTTGTTGTCATCTTTATTTCTCCAGGTGTTTGAACGTATTTCTTATTGTTTTTCACTCCACTTTTTTTTTTTAACCTAAATAATATTAAGTTGAAGTGAACTCTCAATCTTTCTTCTGGTACCCTGAACTAAGGGAAATTTTAGTTAAAATACAGTTTTGATACAGTTTGCAGATTGAAACATTAGTCAGAAGACTTCAACACCTGTTACTGGAGCATCCATTGTTACATATTGTTTACAAAATTCATTTGAAAAAAAAGAAATGTCAGTAATAAAGATATTCAGAAGACACAGACAACAAAATCAGGCCAAAAGATAACAGCCTTCTCTCAGGCTCTGATCAGGGCAAAACCTAGAGGATTTAGGAAGCTGTAGGAACAATCAATATAGGCACAAAGCCGGTCAGGTTGGAAAGTACCCACATTCCATGTCTTCATTCTTTTCTTGGCACACAGCATTTATACAAACACAACATAGCATTCATTTTGTACAAAGCAGAATGAATTTTACATGGAGTTTGCTGATTTGAGATTTATGCAATTAAAAAGGAAATTACGTAAATCTTTTGAAAAAGTTACTACCTTTTCCAAAGAAGATCTTTAACAAGTATTCTACGCACAAACCTGCTTTCTGCACCTAAGACAAAAGTAAGACTTCCTCTTTCAATGGGTTTTATCATTTTTGCTGCAAACAAAAAGATCTTTGTTGGCAAGAAACCATCTTCCTGTTTTGTAAACAGACTACATTTCTTCATAATGAAATGGCAAATTGTTGACACTTTTCTTACAGTGAAACAAGGAAAGTACCTCTGGGTAAATGGGTTTGTTTATGTGAGTGTGATTTTCCCTTGCTATGGAAAGTATAAAGTCCAAACTGGTAAGTGTCCAGTAAGTGTCCGGTAAGTGTCCGGTAAGGTGGATGCTTTCAGGTGGGAAGTTAGCACACAGAATTAAAGAAACATTTCTTCTTCCATGGTTAAGTCTGTTTAGCCTCACTAAGTCATACTGTGTTTATGTCTTAGTCACAAAAACACAGTATAGTGGAATTGCAAAACAATGTCTAGAGCTGTTCCCACAAGTAGGTTAGGAGGCAGGCAGCAAGGCAATTACCTCTAGTTACTGACTCTATTTCTATAGTTACTCTCGCCACCTGCTATTGAAATATACTTGAAGCAGGACATGCATTTGCTTGTCCCTTTGACCTAATCAAAATTTGGCAGCTGGTGTTTTTGCCATTTCAAACCTTTGTGCAAATAAAAATAGCAAAGGCAGGTTCAAGACTTCAAGAAGCAAAACAACAAAACCTGTAAATTTTATCAATTCAATGCAGTGAAACTAAAACAAAAACCTTTCAGAAAGTTGTTGGTTACCTCAGCTGTTCTTCCCACAGGATAGCATCTCACATGGGCTTGCCTGTCCTCAGCACCTCAGCTCTCCTAGATGCTTCTGGAACGTTCTGGGGGCTTCTGACCCAGTCCCTCCATGAAACTAAAGGAAAATATAATTTTTCTTGATTTAGCCTTTTGTTTTTGTGCTCCTTTTGTTTGTGGCTCCTGAAACAAACACAGATTTTTTGCTTACTTCTGCAGATCTCAGATCTGCTGCCTGAGGGCCAGCGTTGCACCTCTTAGTCTCACCTGTAAGCTGGAGTTGGAAACACAGCCTGTACACAGCACTCTTAAAACACTGTCATTACAGCACTTTGTTAATCTGATAAAAAGTCTTATCAGCCCACCGACGAACCATGAGACCAGAATTTAGCCTCACACTGCACCACCAATTGTCCCATGTTAGCAGATGTGCCTGATTCTGTGGAAAAAAAAAACAAAAACGCCTGGCTGAGCTTTGTCTTCCAGCAGCCTAGCTGGATTGGCCGTTACTTTTATTTACTGACCAGATCACAGGTCCAAACTGTGCTTTTCTTACGTTAACCTGCTCTCCCTTTCCTTAGCACCTGTGTCACAGCTGAAACAGCACATGAAGAAACGCAGCCCTGCGTCCCGCTGCTCCCTCGCGCTGTCCCCGCTGCGGCCCCAGCTTCCCACCTCACTGCTCAGAAGGGGCGCGTGGGCACGTGGCGGGGCTGCGGCCGTGCAGGCAGGGCTGGCAGGAGCTGCAAAAGTAAAGAAGGAAGAAAGGGATGGAAACCAGTCGCTCTGCTGGGTCTTGTCCTAACAAAGCAACAGTGAAACACCACACAGGGAGAGCAGCTGCCTAATTACTTCACTTCGCTTTCTGCTAGACTGATGCTGCAAAGGAAGTTAAGCAACGAAACCCAGCAACTGTGCACTGCAGATTTTGCAACACTGTGGGTCACTTCCAGCCCGCACACGGAGCTTACACCTGTTGGTGTAAGCAAGCACCATGAGCAGCCACAGTGCTTGCAAGGGAAAATAATGTGATACTGTATTCAACTTCAACACTTTCAAAACAGTGAATGATAAATTATTTTTAAAATAAAAATATTAAAAAATGTGTTTCAAAATATTTTTAGAAGAAACATATAAACTAAAAATCTTGTGTGTCAGAGCAGAAAGCAGCTCTACCTGCAGAAAATAATATCAGTGTCCCTGTTCCTATCACAGTGGTTAAAAACATGACAGACGTTTGCAATTTCCTTTTAATTTTTTTTTGCCAGAGGAGAATTTGGCCATTCTAAATGCAAACTTCTTTGCACCTTGCCCTGCAGAGATGGACTGCTGGTAGGTAAGCTTTGTAAAGATCTGCAGTCTCTTACATCAATTTCAAATCATTTTTTTAGCAGATTGCCCTAGGTGTCTCTTGCTTTCTGGGCATAAGCGTTTATGAAGACACGTAACTGAATTGCTTTCTCTAAGTGGAATTTCATCCATCACCAGCTGCTACTTACAGCTTTACTATTAAGTCAGTTGGAGCACAACCATAGGTAGGGAGCTCTTCCCAAACATCGCTTGCAGTGCTGATGCTCCTGAAACAAATACAGATGCACTGCTTCTCAAGAGTCTGGCATTGACAACAGAGGATTTTAGTAAAAGAAAGTAAATCACTTTTCCTGCCTAAACTTACTGAAGTATCCACAGAAAAGGACGATTCTGTGTGTTGCTGATCTTGATTTACCTTTTGTTATCAGCTGTCCCAGTCTTTTTCTGTGAACTGACACTAAACGCAAACATTTCTGTAGGTTTCGATGCAAATGTTTCATTTTTGCTACTCTTCTCCAGAGGGTGTTTCTGCCAGGTATGTTTGATGGGAGCTGACTGACACAGTAGCACCTAATAATATACATTATGCTGTGTAACTCTCTTACAACATATCCCAAGTTCTCATTTTTGCTCAAGGATTTTTAGTTGTTATCTCTAGCACAAACAAGATGCAACTTCTGTGTTGTGCCCACTTCTCTGAACAGCTGCAGTTATCCAACTCGAGGAAAAGAAAAAACAACAACCAATTATACCTTTAAAACTATCAGCTTTTCTTTTTCATTTCAGAAGAGCGAGTCCAGAAGACTTCAGTAAAAATGTTTTTCTATATACTACTCTTCCTCAGCATCAGCTCTCTGTGGTGGCACTGGAAGGCAAGAAATGGGGCAAAAGTTGCAAACCTCACTGGCAAATATATATTCATCACTGGATGTGACACAGGATTTGGAAATATGGCAGCAAAGACTTTTGATAAAAAGGGATTCCGTGTTCTAGCCAGCTGCCTGACTGAAACTGGAGCCAAGGAGCTACAAGCTGCAACTTCCAATCAGCTTCAGACAGTGCTGCTGGATGTGAGAGATTCAAACAGCATTAAGAAAGCAGCAGCGTGGATCAAAGCTGAAGTCCAGTCAGAAGGTAAGCGCCAGGCCATTTGCCTTTATAAAAAAATTTTAGATAAAATAAGTGAGTTTTCCCCAAATTAGTGTGATATGTTCACTGTTTACTCTAATTACTGCTAACTTCGAGCCTTAAATCTGGTCTATTATGACATACCACAGTACTTAATCCTAAATTCCAACTTCCACATGACCGTTCCTCTCTTTGTAAAATGACTTACAATTTGTTTGAATTGTGTTTTCTCAAAACTGTGCCAAGTTTTCAGCCAAAAGAATTTTTTTCCGCCCACAAAAAACAATTAGTAGTCGGAATAGATTCATTGCCATTTTGGTCCATCACTGCTCCTGTAAAGTCACACACAGTTCAATTAATCTACCACACTAGGTAAAAATTGCTTCCTAACTTTCTTCTTTTTTTCCTTGCAGGTCTCTGGGGACTTGTTAATAATGCTGGAATTATGGGGCCAACTGCTCCTACAGACTGGTTGGATATTGAGCATTTTAGAGAGCCAATTGAAGTTAATTTAATTGGGCTCATAAATGTGACATTAAATATGCTTCCCTTGATAAAACAAGCAAAGGGAAGGATAGTAAATGTATCCAGTACTGGAGGTCGGCTAGCATTCTGTGGCGGAGGCTACTGCCCTTCAAAGTTTGGGGTAGAAGGATTTAATGATAGCTTAAGGTATAACACTCACCTACAAGAAAAAGACCACTCTTCATTTTCTAAGGCTAACAGATGACTGAAAACCTGCATATGCAGAATAGAAGCTGATTCACATGTCTGACACTGGATATAAAACTTAAATATATTATACAGTTTGGGATAAGTCTTCTTTAAAGTACCTTTCTTTCAGCATAGATTATGTCACTTTTGAAATCTAAGATACAAATCCTGTTAGACACATAAGGATGGTATTTTTGTAGATTTATATGTAACTTCTTGTAATTTAGTTACTCATGGGGGCCTTTTTGGAGAGGAGATTCCACTCAAGGGAACTGAGATGTCTCTGCAGGAAAAACCTGATCTCCTATAAGCGTATGTCCTATTTCTAAGTGGTTTATAAGACACACACACAGCAGACAATTATGAGATGTGGCCAGAAGAATCTGTACCAGTTTGGAGAATTAGATGGAGATCAAGAGGGGTTCATTCAGACATGTAAAATGGCTCTGGATACTTACATTTAGGCAGTCAGATGGTCTTACAGGCAAGTCTGACAAATTACAAACTACTGGAAGGGGAACTGGGATATGAAATACAATATGCCAGTCATTGTCCATACATGTTCGCACTCAGTGAAGCAGTTAGGAGAGTTCATCCCTCTCTCATTTAGGGATAATAGGCTGAAAGTTCACACCTGTGCTTTCCACACAGTACTTAGATGTTGATATGCAATGTAAAGACAGAAATAACAGTACAGAAAAAACATCCCACCATATCGATAAGAATTTCTAATGCAATTAAATTGCTGGGCTGTCTTTGCAGAAGAGATATGAAAGCTTTTGGAGTTAAAGTTTCCTGCATTCAACCTGGGCTGTTCAAAACACCGCTAACGGATCTAGCAAAGATTCGGAAAGAGAAGGAGGTTATTTGGAATCGGCTTTCCCCCGACACTAAAAAGCAATACGGAGAGGACTATTTTCAGAAAGGTGAAGTAATTTCCAGGCATTTTACTAAAAGCAGCAATGTATTTCTCGCTGAGAAAGCCTTCAAAGTAGCTTTATATCTTCTAATCACTATGACTTTTTGAAAAGACTGCATGTTAACAGTTACTCTTCAAATGCATCTGCATCACAATATGGCTATTCACACAAAAACTTGTGCAATGAAACTTCATTCAGATCTCAGTTAAAGATTAATTATTTGCGTTGGCATGTAGCTTTTGAGCAAACTCCAAGGCAAAAAAACATTCATCTAGTGATGTAACTAATGTGCTTGCAGTGTTTTTCTGTTACTATTATTTATTTCGTAATCAAATAGGAGTAACTTCCTTTTGCTTCTACTATCCCCAACAGTAGTTATGCCACGCAGAAATTGTCTGACAGACAGTTCCTGAGGTGCCTGCTAACACCTTGAACAGAAGCTACTTGTCTTTGGGCTTTTTGTTCAAGTTTCTTTAGTACAGTTGCATTTCACAGATTTCTGCAAAGCAATTACCTTACTACAAGGGACTTAGCACCACAGCGTTTCTATTTCCATCTGCCTCTTACACAGTTAGGTTTATTCTGAGATACTATCATTGCTAGTTACTTGGGGAATACCTACGTGATTTTGCCATTGCTGTTTCACAGTGAAGAGTACCTAGGCTGCTCTTGGGATAAACTGTATCACAGGTCATTATGGACAGGGTGGTTAATCTTCAGAAATTACTATGAATTCTTCTAAAACAAGAAACAAGAAATACCAACTCCTTAGTGAAATTTCACAAATCAACGTGGGATAGAGAGTTAAAAGTCACTTTTCCTGGCTGTCACTGAATGATCTTTTGTTTTACAGATGCAGCAACGAAAGAAAAGCTCTCAGATGCCTGCCTTAACACTGACATCTCACTGGTCGTTGAGTGCATGGAGCATGCTCTAACAAGCCTCCATCCATGTGCCCATTATGTAGTTGGCCAGGATGCCAAGTGGTTTTGGACTCCTCTTTCAAGAATGCCTGCAGATGTACAAGACTTCTTACTTCTGAGAAACAGAGAAAAGCCTGCAGTTTCCCACAGAAATTAAATCTTTGTCCATATATTCCCTGTTGCATACAGGGCTGATTCCACACGACCTGTCTTTTATATTAACATGGTACAAACCATACCTGAAATGCACCCTCATGTCCTATAAATGTAAGAAATACAGCTACTTCTCCAAAATTTGCTACTACTAAAAACAAAACAAATAAATAAAAACCACCCTTACTTCTTTCTTTTTTGTTTTTGTTTTTGAAGTACAGCATGCTAAATCCTTAGGATCTCTAATGTCCAGGTCTTCTCTGTGTTGCAAAAGGATCCATAGATACAAAACTACATCATAGATATGACTACAGGAATCCAATACCTGCAGTTTAGGTAACTAAGAACCACGTATTTTGTTGAGTTTTTTTTTGTTTTTTTTTTATTTCAGACTTCAAGTCTGAAACATTGTATATTTCAGCTTAACAACAACGGCTCTGTGTTTTGTGAGGTGCAAAGCAGCTCTTTTCTTGCTCGGCTCCTGACACAAGTGCCTGCTATGATCTGGCACTGCTGCAATTCATCATGACAAAGTCGCCACAGAATGCAGAGGTCTAATCTCAAGTCTGCAGCTGCACATTGCTCAGGAGTTGTTTCTTACTCCCATGCAAATTGGCCAGTGACAAGAAAAAAAACATTTTCCCCACGCTGATCAATTCGCATTAACACAGCCAAGCTGAAGAGCAAGCTACCCAGTGGCTATCCTAATATTGCTGGTTTTCAATTTAGATTGTTTAAAGCTTCTAAAATACTTTTTCTGTTTTTCTCAGTGCAGCTTATTCTCAGTGCGGTCATCTCATTTATAACTGTTATCTGAAAAAGTCATTCTTTCCAAAGCAGATTTAAGGTAAATAGCCCTGAACTAACTATTCCTACCGAGGCAAATAAATAGATAAGATGTTTTTCTATAAAGAAAAGTAATAGAAAATCAGTGTAAGTCAGAGCTGCCATAGCTGTCTGGGGTGTTACTGGCTCACCTGACCCAATTCACACGAGCCATTAGCTTTCCAGGTAGAGCTCAGGGTGTCCCTATGACTGAAATTTGTGGCTCCTGAAGAAGCAGCAGCAGCAGGCCCTCATTACGTGAACTTAGCAGAGAACTTGGTGTCATTCTCACAAGTCTCTTTCTCTCTCCAGAAGTTAAATTATATTTTTCCATCAAGGTTACACAACTGACATTGAATAGGAAAATAAAGTATAGAATGGCAGCGGCTGCTCTGATCTGTATCAGGTTTAGGGACTGAAGTTTGGTTGACTTACATCAGCCCTTGTCAGACCACAGGTCCACTGTCAGCTGCTGCAAGACTACAGCACTGCAGCGATTAACATCTGAAGTAAAGTTCAAAAAGAATTTGGAGCAAGGCACACCCGCTGTAAGTATATTATTTAGATTAGGAATGCAGAAAAAATATCAATTGCTTAATGTATTCCCAAAGTATCTTTCTTTTTACAAACAGCCACATTCTGGTGGCATATTCTCCTCTGCAACCAACCACCTTATTTACTTGTATGCATGAAGAGTGGGGGAAAGGAGCTCTGCTTATACATTCAGACAAAGAGCAGAGGGATCAGAAGAGCCCAGCAGACTTTGGGCCAGTCATTTGTTAGCATTCTTAGCAGTCATCATATGTTAGAGGTTTTTTTCATAAAAACTGTAGAGAAGAGCTTCTAGAATTTGAACTTTTATTTGAAACACAATTTATTTGTTTCATGTACCATAAGACTGCCCTTGGACTAGAACAAAGAATTTTGTTCCTGCAAGTTGTTAAACACAAGGTATTTTCTTCAGCCTTTGTTCCAAAAAAACTAAGTCCTATCAATAACAGCTCATTCCATGTGCAGGAGTAAAGAGAGAGGTCTGAAATAAGCCCAGTTAAATCAATGGAAAGATTCCTGCTCATTTCAACACAACACACAGTAGTTTAGTATTCCCTAATGAGTCTTAGCAGTCCCCTAGGCTCTACAGATGACTATATATAGCCAGGAAAGCTTATGCAGCAAAGGGAGGATATGCTGAGATGGAGCTTAGGTGGAGGATTAACAACAACTAATTCCCTAAGATAGAAGCACCACAACACAAGTCATTATAAATAGCGAGGAGAATGACTGTGCTCGACAGCCATAAAACCATCATGCTGAATTTACAGGTTTTTGTGAAAACTGTATCATCGTGCAAGTGTCGGTGCACAAGCTGATGAGTTAGCCTCAAGCAGTTTCTACGTTCTGACACCAAAATAACCGGTGAAGGCCACTCATGAGAACCTGGAGGTACATGGTGAGCTTGCAGATGTCTCCCCAGAACGTGAGTACCAGCACAAGAGCAGAAATGGTATCTAACAGTGTGCAGAATTCCTTATATGCATTTGCAGAGTGTTTAAGAGGACAAATTAAGCATTTGGTTTTGAGTGCACAGATGAGAGAACATGCAGTCTCTTCCTTTCCAGTAAGGATTTTAACCAATTATTGCTTATTAAGCACCTGCAGGGTCTGAATAAAATGCTAACTTAGTAATGTTCTTTAGAACATCTGGAATCTTTCTCAACTCCTTTATTAATTACTGGTTTGGTCACCAAAGGGTTTAGAAGGCTTTATTTGCCCTGGCATGGTAAAAAATCTGAACTGCGAGCACTACAAGTAAAGATACTGAGAAATCAGCCCTCATTTAACCAGACTGACTTCACGTCCCTGCAAAACACTCAAGAGAGTCTGGATATGTATTTCTTTTAAGATGAAAGATTAAGGAAGATCGTTATCTGCTGACCTCTGAACTGCTGTTGTCCTCTTTACACAGCTGATAGGAAAGTAGCCCTTTCCCATGAAACACAAGTACAAAGCCCTGCACACACAGGAATAGCTCATGTAAGAGTGGGAGGTGTGATGCGTTTGTGCCTGAGTACATGTTCAGTTTGTTAATTGAAAACGAGGCAGTTTGTAGCACAGGCAGGGTGACTGATTATTAAAGTTTGTATTGAACTGTACTGTACTGAACAGGGCACAGCCTGACAGTGGAACCTTCCCCATGTGTTCCACGAGGCTGCTCCTGAAGAACAGAGGCCCTGCACTTCCTTTGCCAGCTCTTCCTCTGTGTGGACGGTGGGCCAGGCCACCCCACTGCAGAGCACTGACTTCTGCAGGGTTTGCACTGTGAGCACAGTGCCAGAGGAAGGAATCCCAAACATATCCAGACCCCAAACCTCCTCCAGCCTGAGGTTCTCTGGCACAACTGCCAGCATTGCCTGCTGTGGGAGCAGAACAGTCTCACTCCCTGAAGCAGGGTGCTTCAGCTTCCCCTCTGCAGAGAAACAGAGGGATGCTGCTATTTGCAGTCATCTGAGTACCTTAAAGGGCTCTAACAGTGTAGTCACACTGCTTTTCTTTAAAACCAATTGCTTTTATAATGGCACTTGTGTGTGCACAAAAAGCCAAGCTCTATTGCAAGAGTTCTCAATCTGCCAGGCAAATATCAGCATTTTAATGGAAGGTAAAACTTGCCTTTAGCTATTTACTGGCTACACTGGTAATAAAAATTCAATATTTTTGGAATTATATCAAAGCTCTTGAAATATCATGCTGACATTTTCCCTAGAAGCACACTCTTTGCTACTGCAAGAGCTACTTCAAAATTGATGTGCTGCTGGCAGAGAAGCAGCATTTAGTGCTACACAATTATCAGACAAAAACTATTTCTTGCAACATTGCACATTCACAGAAACAGACTATTTTCTCTGAAGAAAATCTTAACTGAAATTATTTCCTCTGATTCTGACTCCAGATTTCTTTTACCAGATATGACATCATCCAGCAGAATAAATTCCAGCACAATATTCCTACAGAGAGGAGCCCTTTGTGCTGCCCAGCAGCAGATGTCCACATGCTTTTGGACACTGAGAGCCTGTAGGGAGCCACCTGGTGCAGATGTGCACACAGCCCAGCACCTATGGGATGGATGAGCCATGAGGTTCCACACACAGCACAGCTGTCTCAATCTTACAGCTCCTCTCTTCCAGCTGCTGCTAGCAAAACTTAGGGACTGATGCTAACCAGAACAGTTCCATGCATTTCTCTCCAAGGAGTAAATGTGTACCCCAGAGCCCAGCCTAGCCAGATGTCTCCACAGAGACCCTGTTGCAAACTAAAGCTGCTTTCCAGCAGTGCAAGCTCTTTGCCCACCATTTCCCATTAGTAGCACAGCCAACGAAGATGTAATTTACTACTCTTGTTTCCAATTAAAAGAATATTTTCCCAAAATTTTTAATTAGGTCATTTTATTTAGTATTGGGAAAAAGATTAATTAAGTCCTAAAATGATGCATCACAGGACTAGATTGCTGGGTAGCTATTTGATTTATGGACTTGGGGTTACAAAAGTCTGCTGGTAGCAGCTTCTCTCTGTTTCCAGCTTCCATTCTAATCCAGCAGTCATTGCCTGGCACATCACATTAACTCAGAGGTCCATATCCATGGCTACAGAAGCATGCAACTATTTAAAGTAATATCACTGCGTGGAACGTTGTTACTCCTAGATCACAGAATCACAAGGTTGGAAATGACCTGTAAGATCATCTAGTCCAACCATCTTCTCATCACCATTGCCACCACAAGCACTAAACCACATCACGAAGCATGTTGGACACCAGACACCTCTTGAACACTGCCAGGGACGGCGACTCCACCACCTCCCTGGGCAGGCCATTCCAGTGCCTGACCACTCTCTGAGAGAAATAGTTCTTCCTTATGTCCAACCTAAACCTCCAACCTCATCATTCATCAGCTACGTGACTGATGTATTCAATGAGTCCAATATTCACTTACAGTTTGAGACTTTGCCCACTCCTACTTGATTAGACGGTGACTTGATTAAAATAAACCCAAATAATTCCTAAAGCCAGTAGAAACAAAAGCACCAGAAGAACAAGAACACCACTCTAGCAACCAGGTCTTCCTTTACCATTAGTGTTTTAAGGTAACATGGATTTCACACGAAAATTAGCCGAACCCCTAACTTCAGACAGCTGTGAGTTACAGAACATAAAAAAACACAGACCAGCTTTCTCTTCAAGTACTTCCAGGATTTAAAAATAATAAACTCCTTCATTTTAACATGACTGTTAATTATTTGAATACAATCACATGTTCCTTCTTTGAATATAATCACTTGTCTGC